GGATAGAGAGAAATACTGTTAATTGATGGTACATGGAGGGGATTATAATCATTGTAATGAAACAAGGTGTATGATTTGTTGAATGTAAAATTGATGATATGCCCTGTAAACTTTCACTCAATCCACAATAAAAACCTTAAATAATAAATAAATAATACGTTTACAGTTGGACAAAAGAGATGGCTGGGAAGTTTCGTGTGATGAAAGCTGACAACATTTCGGCTGTACCATAGACTTGCTGTGTAATCACAGGCCACACTTCCCCTCTCTGCTTCTTGGTTTCTTCCTAATACAAATAAACATTTAGTGCCTGCAGTGTGCCAGACTCTAGGTTGGCATGTCACAGATATTCGTGACTCTTCTATCAATAGGGATGAGGAATCCCACTTTACAAAAGAGGAAACTGAGGCCAAGAACAGAGACATGATTCATTCAGAACCCTATGCTAGTTGGCGGCAGAGATGGGACTGGAATTGGGGCTGGGGGTTGTGACTCCCAACTCAAGGCCACTACATCAACTGCCTCTAAGTTCTAGGATCTGACCCAAAGACAGGTGGAAACAGATGGGAGGTAGAGGAGGCTGCTCTTTTTCATTGGTTTGGGCTAGGGTGGGGGGTGGGGAGCATGGTTGGCAGGTTGGTGCTAAATAGTTGTGGCCACATTAGAGGTGCGAGTGTCAGGCTTTTTTCCCACTACCCCACACACAAACTCCCCAAACACATAGACCTTAGAGTTACAAGATGTCTGTCTGGGTGTCTACATCTCTTCAAGCCTTCCTTCCTTCAATCACTCAACATTTACCAAGTACTCACTTTGGCAAGCTCTGACCTGGATGTGGGCAACACAGGGCTCCCAGGCAGAGGGGCAGACAGAAATTCCCTGGAGAGTCCTTAACTAGTCTAAGCGGATGGACAAAGAAGGCTTCCTGGAAGAACTAAACTGAGATCTGAAAGATTAATAGAAATGAACCAGAAAAGATTTGGAGGAAGACTAGTCTAAGTGGAGAGAACAGCATCTGCAAAGGCCCAGAAGTGAGAGCAGGAAGATGCTCACTTTGGTTAGAGAATGAGCTATCAAGTGTGAGAGGCAAGAAGTTCAGTGAGGGAGGAAAGAGGGAAAGAATGGGTCACTTTAGCCACATGAAGAAAGCTGAATTTTCTCCTGTGGGTACCAAGGAGCCATGGAAGGGTTCTGAGCAAGGAAGGAACAGGATAAGATTGAAATTTTAGAGCTATCCCTCAACTGCTGTGTGGAAAAGGAATTCAGGTAGGCAAGAGGAGAGGCACGGCTGGCTCTGAGCCCATCTGTTTCTCAGGGCCCTCAGTGTGTAGAGAATTGGGAGAGCAGAAAATCCACTTTATCTACAAGTGGAAGCTACTTTCCCCAGAGAAATGACAATGGAGCCAGGTTGTAGGACTTCCACAACCCCAGATATTCATATCTACACTCACAGCTGTCCTTCATGCTCCTGAGAGAAAGGAAGAAGCAACAGAGTTAGAGAGATGTGCCCAACTACTTCAAAGTTGCTGGGTGTCAAGCCTAGGTTTTGTGGGTTTTGAAGCAACTCACATCAAAAGATCCCAACAGTCAACTGCTTCTTCCATTATCCGCATCCCTGGGCTGTGTGAAGTTTGGCTGAGGACATCCTGTTTCTGGAGTTTCCAGGACAGAAGGACCCAGGGATGTCCTCAGTCCACCCTTGAGTGTCCCCTGGGCCCTGGCTACTCTCACAGCCCTCTCTCTGTCTCCCTAGACAATGAGCCTGGGCCCCCAGCAGCTATCACTCACGGACAGCCTCCAGGCCTTGTCTTCAAATACAAGGGGCCTCTCAGAGCTGTCCAACTATAAAGCCGATGAATGGTCCTGGGCTGCCAGTCGGACAATGCCCAGGCTCTGGGGAGAAGAGATTAGAAGCCCAAACCAGTTCCAACTGCTCAGGGGGCTCAAACTGGGGTCCATGGAGTACTCCTTCATGGTCAGTGTTCAGGAATGACCCCTAGGAAATGTGGCCCTATGAAAAGGAGGGGTTGAACTGAGGGTCTCAGAGGTAGAGGCATTGTCAAGGATGGGAAGGTCATTGCTTGGACTACAGAGTAGAGATTTGGTAGGGATGTGAAACACACAGACCTACAAAGGAGACTGGCAGCATTAGGTTGGATGAAAGCTCCACCCCGCCCACAGAAAGAGTGTGGGTATAGCAGGCAGACGTGGAGCCCACCCCTTCTTCGCTATGTGGCCTTGGGCCACATGTTCGCTATGTTGGGCCTCAGTTTGTATATATGCAATATGGGATCCCCACAAGTCCCTGCCTTGAATGAGACAATAACCCACCCAGGGACCTGCAGAGCAAGGGCTCTATTGCAGGCTTCTCTTTCCTACCTCGTTTTCTCTTCTATTTTCTTCCCATTTCTCTTGCTGTCTTTAATAGTGGAACTTGGTTGAGGAGGGGGATAAGTTACAAACACAAGAGAACCAAGTCCTGCATATGCTCTGCCGGCCCAGGAACCTGGGAAATACTCAGAGTTCTACCCCCCAAGCAGGGGCTTCTTATCCTTAAATTCTTATTTTGAAATTTCTTAAATCTAGAGAAAAACTGAAAGAATAACACATTGAATATGCTATACCCATCCACTTTGCTACCCTCCTTTTGAAAAAAAAACATTGTTTGTTTTGAAAAAAATATATTAAACTGTGTGCCAGGCACTATGTATTAAGTTACATGAACTTTTATGAAGTCAAAGTCATCTAAACCAGGTTGCTGTTGTTGTTAAGTGACAACTCATGGTGACCTTGTGTAGGGTTTCTAAGGAGTGCTGGTGGGTTTGAACCACCAACCTTGCAGTTCAAACCCCTAGCGGTCCAGTGCATTCTCCTGCAATGCACACCAGTTAAATCAGGTAGCAACGCCAAAAGTTTTGTACTATTATTATCCACATTTTACAGATGGGGAAACTGAGGTACAAGGAAATTACGTAACCCATCTCAGGTTAGACTCAAGATGAACTTAGATCTGTGTGATCCCAAAGCCTTAGCCCCGGAATCACTCCATCTGATCTCCCTTCCAACTAGGAACTCTTGCTAATACTTCCTGAAAAGTGTGCAACCCGCTCTGCTACAAACTGTCCATGCTAGAAAGCTCATCACTTCGGTGTCCTCCCCAACATTTCAGTCTCATTCAGCACCCCCGGCTCACCACTTAGCCCAGGCTCTGTCCTCAGAGACCAAAACCTCTGTGCCAAGCTTTCTCCAGAGTTAATGCTTCTCTGATCCCTTCCCGCTTCACTGACTTTTGAATGGACAGGATGAAGACACAGAGATCCAGGGGCATGGGGGGCTCTGCAATCAACCAGCTGTCTAACTTTGGTGAGAGGCCTAAACTTGCCAAGTCCTCAGCTGGAAAGTGGGTGTGATAGTCCCTTCCTCACAGGAGGTTGTAGATAAAGACCAGGCCTGCACAAGGCCAGCTCAGGGCACCTAGAAAGCTAGGTACTGATTGCTCCTTCCTCCACTACCACCCTGGCTTCCGATGGGATTCTTCAGCTTCCACAAGTTTATTTTGGAACTAAATCTCACAAGGTGGTCCCTTCTAATCAGGTGATTTTATCTGTGTGTTGGGGGAAAGAGGGCAGTGACAGGTCCTGTCCAGGGACTAAGTGTCATCATGCTTCTAAAAACAGGGGAATCTGTGGCTGGACCAGAGGCTTCAGGCTAGGCGAAA